TTAGGAAGCGTGGCATAGGCTCCTCGCACAATATTCTTTATGTGGTCCTCAGGTGATAGAAAACTATCTAGAACCACCCCTAGATCTCTTTCTTTATCAGAATTCTTTAAAGATTTCTCACAATATATTGGTTGTGTGGGGTCTATGTTTTCCTATTCCACATTCCATAACATGGCATTTATTAACATTAAATTCCATTTGCCAAGTGGCGCTCCATGTACTTATTTTGTCCAGGTCTTCTTGAAGGGCATGACAATCATCTAAGTTTCTTATCCTTCCTATTATCTTAGCATCATCAGCAAACATGTTCATATAATTCTGTATACCAACTGGTAGATCATTTATGTAGACAATAAACATCACTGGTGCAAGAACTGAACCCTGTGGTACTCCACTTGTGACATTTCTCCCAGCCCTCATTTTTCTATCAGTCAGAAAATTTTTCATCCATGTTAGAAGTGTACCTGTCACTCCTCCAATATTTTCCAGTTTCCAGAACAACCTCTTATGTGGAACTCTGTCAAGAGCCTTTTTTAGGTCCAGATAGATGCAGTCAACCCAACCATCTCTTTCCTGTAATATCTCTATTGCTCGACCATAGAAACTGAGTAAATTCGACACACAGCATCTTCCAGATCGAAAACCATACTGTCTGTCTGATATTATGTCATTTCTCTCCAGGTGTTCTACCCATTTAGATTTAATTATTTTTTTCCAATATTTTGACTATTACACTTGTCAATGATACCGGTCTATAATTAAGAGGGTCTTCCCTGCTTCCACTTTTGTAGATTGGAACTATGTTAGCCTTTTTCCACACATCAGCTTCAACTCCTGTAAACAGGGATGCCTGAAAAATCAGTTGAAGAGGAATGCTGAGCACAGGTGCACATTCTCTCAGAACCCATGGTGAAACTTCATCTGGACCAACTGCTTTGTTCTTATTTAGCTCCTTGAGCATTTTTTCCACTTCGTCTCTAGACACCTCTATGTGCTCTATGTTGTTCTCTGGAATTCTTATTGTATCTGGTTCCCTGAAGATTTCATTTTGTACAAACACACTTTGGAACTTTTCGTTTAATGTTTCACACATTTCCTTTTCATTTTCCGTGAATCTATTTCCCATTTTCAACCTCTGAATATTATCCTTTACCTGCAATTTACCTGTGTGTGTGTGTGTGTGTGTGTGTGTGTGTGTGTGTGTGTGTGTGTGTGTGTGTGTGTGTGTGTGTGTGTGTGTGTGTGTGTGTGTAATTACCTAAGTGTAATTACCTAAGTGTAGTTACAGGATGAGAGCTACGCTCGTGGTGTCCCGTCTTCCCAGCACTCTTTGTCATATAATGCTTTGAAACTACTGACGGTCTTGGCCTCCTCCACCTTCTCACTTAACTTGTTCCAACCGTCTACCACTCTATTTGCGAAGGTGAATTTTCTTATATTTCTTCGGCATCTGTGTTTAGCTAGTTTAAATCTATGACCTCTTGTTCTTGAAGTGCCAGGTCTCAGGAAATCTTCCCTGTCGATTTTATCAATTCCTGTTACTATTTTGTATGTAGTGATCATATCACCTCTTTTTCTTCTGTCTTCTAGTTTTGGCATGTTTAATGCTTCCAACCTCTCCTTGTAGCTCTTGCCCTTCAGTTCTGGGAGCCACTTCGTAGCATGTCTTTGCACCTTTTCCAGTTTGTCGATGTGCTTCTTAAGATATGGGCACCACACAACAGCTGCATATTCTAGCTTTGGCCTAACAAAAGTCATGAACAATTTCTTTAGTATATCGCCATCCATGTATTTAAATGCAATTCTGAAGTTAGAAAGCGTGGCATAGGCTCCTCGCACAATATTCTTTATGTGATTCTCAGGTGATAGTTTTCTATCTAGAACCACCCCTAGATCTCTTTCTTTATCAGAATTCTTTAAAGATTTCTGTGTGTGTGTGTGTGTGTGTGTGTGTGTGTGTGTGTGTGTATATATATATATATATATATAATGTATATATAATGTATATATATATACATACATATGCATGTGACATACCTTAGCTGTGAAGCAGCTGAAAAGTTGAGGATATTATGTGGGCTGAATGATGGAGCCCTTGGGGTCAATCGACCCTGCCACCCTGTGGTGCGACAGTTGCCGCGAATATAATTTTTCATAATTATTTTTTTGTTTCATTAGTTTCTTCTTTGGTTTGTTCCCGTAGTGTGGAATATCGATTGTGCTCATGAGTATGGGGCTTGTGTGTGTGATGTATAGTATATTCTACGATCAATCAAACAGGGTTTTTGCTTTTATTACACTATATATACACACATTATATGTAAGTATCTACATGTTTTATTCACCACAACTGTACAACTAAGCTTTTCTGATGTCCAAACAGCATAGTGGCCACCCTACACAGTATGCCAAGTCACACACCACCCAGCAGACGATGCCACCTCCCTCACTAAAATGGCTCCTCCCAACATACTCCTTTTGCTGTTATTACACTATATACACACATGTTATATACAAGTATCTACATTACTGTTTACCACAGCAAACAACTAGGCTGGTATGTTGAGTCCAGACAATAATTGCTCACCAGTCAGCCGACGACACTACTTCCCTCCCTTACCAAGATTACTCCTCCCACCATACTACGCACAGTGCTAATTATTACCATAATCCTGCTATTATCAGAATCCTGGTAATGTTTATCACAGTCAGGGGTCTTCTCTGTGATACTATCATCGCTAAATGATGTTACATATATATATATATACATTTTTAGTTGATACTGTTGTCACAAGCTGAACAGCAGTACTGTTAGCTCATGCTGCATGCGTTAGCCTTGGTTGCTCATTCGGTACTGAGCACCCGGGAATGTTACCCATAATTTTTTTTCAAGACTGTGTCTGCAGAAGTCCTGAGACACAGGATGTGAGCCCCGTGTACACGCAGGAGTTTTGAATCCTATGCTATACCTACGATCGCCTTGAGGTACTCTGTGCCCCCTCGATCTAGCTCCTCAAGTGTCTGTGCAATGTGGTGGTTAAAATGTTTTTAAAATGGTCATGGCTCTTTAACCACTGAACTGCGCAATGCGCCTGCAGGCGCTCGACGGGGGGAAGCGCAACGCGCCTCCGGGATCATATATTTTTAGTGTATGATTCAAAACTTCCGCGGCTACATGGGGTTCACATAGGCTTCCTCATGGTTCTTGTAAACAGACACAATTTAAAACAAACAAACTGGGCAATATTCCCGGGTGTGAAGGCCTCGGTACTGAGTGAGTCACCAAGGCTGGCGCACGCATCATGAGCTCACAGCACTGCTGTTCAGCTTGTGACCACAGCATTGCCTAATAATGTCATAATATATATATAATAATTGGTATTATTTAGCTATGATAGTATTACAGAAGAGCCTGGGTGTGATAATGACTGTGTACAATGTTCATATATCAGTGAATCAATGCTGTTCACGATGTTTACAGTGCTAGTCACAGCACCACAGCATTATTTCATCCATTTAGGAATCTTCAAACGTTACTTTACAAAATAAACATGTGGTTAATTATTCATTTACAGGATTTAGTGACCAGGATTGTGATAATAGCAGGATTGTGGTGATAATTAGTGTTGTGCGCAGTATTGTGGGAGGAGGAAGTTTGGTGAGGGAGGGAATCCAGGTAGCCTCACTGTGTAGTCACTCTTGTTTTGCTCACCATACTAGCTTAGTGGTTCGCTATGGTGAACACACATGTACCTGGGTATATATAATGAACAAATCCACAAGGGCTGTGACGAGGATTTGAACCTGCGTCTGGGAGCATCCCAGACACTGCCTTAATCGACTGAGCTACGACAGGGTAAAAGGGTTGAAACTGAAGTTCTACTGAACTTACTGGATCTCATAGTCTCTCCGAAGCACAAACCAGGATTTTACACAACCCTCCCCCCCTGCACCCGAGCTATGTCAATAGGCCGTTCTCCCTCTTCACCCTTACATCATCACACACAGATCACACTAACATGATGCATCAAATGAACAAATCCTTGGCCGTGACGAATCCTCGTCACGGCCCTTGTGGATTTGTTCATTTGGTGCATCACGTTAGTGTGATCTCTGTGTGTGATGGGTATATATACAATGTGTGTGTATACCCATGTACATAGGTGCATAGTATTGTGGGAGGAGGAATTTTGGTGAGGAAGGTGGCGTCGTACTCGTAACGTTGTCTGCTGGCTGCTGTGTGATTTCAAATGCAGTGTATGGTGGCCACTGTGCTGTTTGCACAATACCGGCATACTTACATAGTTATGGTGAATAAAACATGTAGATACGTATACCTAAAGTGTGTAAATAGTGTAATAAAAACAATAACAGTATGGTGGTAGGAGGAATGTTGGCGAGTAAGGCGTAATGAGTAAACTAGGTGTTGGAGGAGTGAGGGAGGGAGGGCTGGCTGGGTGTGGCAGCTCACACTCACTGAGTTCTGAGTGTGTTGATGGTGAATGTACTAGCAGCACAGTGGTTAATAATAGCTTTGCATACTTTATACAGTATTAGATTTCCCTAAATGTTTGTCATTGTGTGCGTGTCATTTATTCTAAATTTTAATAACACATGAATATATTCCATATTCTACCCTAATATTTTACATTACCTAATGTACATGATGCAGCTTTGGTTTCTGAGGTGCAGGTAGAAGAGGGTATTATTTTAAAGTGTTCATATTGTGAGACTTAATAATATAAACATGGAATACCTCCTTCAGTTGCAATAAACAGTTTTAAAATAAACATTACTTATCATTGTACTGTAGTATCCAAGTACTGTACTGTGATGACTTTGATAAACTTTTGGTGTTTTTATATTGTACTTAACACAGTACTTTTATAAGGGGGTTAAGTGTGTGTGTGTGTTTTAACTTGAATTTGTGCTATATAAAGTAAGGTGATAAATATGAATTTGACATACTCAAGAATAAAATTAAACTGCTATCTTCTCAGGTATCTGATTGAAGCTGGTGCTAATGTCAATGCCCAGACATGAGCAGGAGAGACTTCACTAACTTACGCTTGTGAGAATGGGCACATTGATGTTGCTGACCTGTTACAGGCCGGGGCTAATACGGTGAGTGGTAAACTATTACTGTATATTAATACATCAATGTGTTGAACAAACTGTTATGGAGAGCCACTATAGAAATTTAAAAACATTAGAAAGTATTTCTTGATACAACTTGGCTATCATTGTATCAACAAAAAATCACAGCTTACTCAACTCATTGCAATCATAGTTAGTTGTTCTCTTCAGTATTTGAATCATGAAGAGGTCTGGGATCTTCTCGGACGTAGTTCGAACCCTCATCACGGCCCTTGTTGATTTGTTTGTTTGATGCATTACGCTATTGTGATTTTTGTGTGTAATCATGAAGTCTTTGCTCTTTCAGGAATATTTACATGAGCTGTATCCTTTTTGAATAAAATGACAACCTCAATTTATTGAATTATAATAATAGTGTCTAAATGCCTTGACCCAAGGATTTAGCATGGAAAATATTGTAGAATGCTAAGGCAGTTTCTCAGTTGAAGAAAACAAAATTGGCTTTCTAATAAATGAAAATTATAAACAAGGTAGAAATAATTGTTTAACAATCAATCACATTGTACTTAACACTTTGGCTTTGTAACAACTCAGCATTGCATCGTTCGTTTACTGGAGGGTAGTCCAGTACCGACGCAGCATTGCGTCGTTACCAGCGGCAAATTGGCAGTGGCTTCAGGAGGGTTGAGCTGCGATTTTGGACATTATATGCATATACACCTGTAGGAATTTCATTGCGAATACATAGATCCCAAAATGATCGACTTAGGACCAGAATTGAGGTAACAAAGTTGAAGAGAGTATACCCATTTTATTGCTCTTTATTAGCTCTCACTGTGGTAATGCACAGTCACGTTCTCTGTTTTCTGTGGGTGGGACACTGGGCTTTTGGACTTTATATTTGCATATACTCCTGTAGGGAATTCTATTGCAAACACAATGGTACCAAAATGAAAGACCTAGGACAAGAATTGAGATGTCCAAAGTGAAGAGAGAAGACACATTTTATTGCTCTTGCACGCTCCCGGGTAACACGCTCGCACTTTCTCGCCTGGCTTTTGGGCTTTATATGCATTTAGTCCTGTAGAGAATTCTATTGCGAACACATTGGTACCAAATTGAAAAACCTAGGACAAGAATTGAGATGACAAAGTTGAATAGAGTATACACATTTCGGTGTGACCGCGCGCTCTATTGTAATGAGAGGCGCCTTGGGGTAGGGCAGCGCTCTCTTTCTGGTAACTTTCATCTTGCCGGCGAGTGGGGTGAGCCGCTGATTTTTGACATTATATGCATATACTCCTGTTGGGAATTCTATTGTGAACACAGTGATGCCAAAATGAAAGACCTAGAACGAGAATTGAGGTGACCAAAGTGAAAAGAGTGTACACATTTTATCGCCTTTGCGCACTGTTTGTTGCGGATGGTACGCTGAGCGTTTGGACTTTATATGCCTTTAGTCCTGTAGAGAATTCTATTCTAATGGGGGGGGGGAGAATAGCTCTCAAGTCCATTATTTCACTCCCCAGTTAACCATCGAGGCCGGGGAAAACAGCTCTCTTTAGTCCGTTATCCCGCCCTCAGTTAGCTAACTATTCGTTCCCCAGTTCCCCAACCAGAGCTCCTACTGCAACTTCTCCAGTTGAACACCTTGTAACCTAGGTATTTGACTACCTAGGTGCTGCAACTACAAGGCATTGTAACTTGATCAGCTACTTGTAACTCTAAAGAGAGACTAGCACAATTCACTGCCACAAAGATATATGAGAAACGAAAGGAAAGAGATGAATAATGAAGTAATTAGTGAGGGGTTTGGGGTGAGGGAGGTAGAGAGGTGGGAGGAGCGAGGAGGGTCGTCAGTTGAAAGGGAGAGTTTGGAGAGGGGCGGAGGGAGAGGAGAGAGAATACGGAGATGAGTGGAGGTAGAAGTAGAAAAGTAGATAGAAGTAGAAGAGTAGATAGTCGAAGGGCTGCTACCAATCATTCTAGTCAGTACATATAAGACAAGGAATGGAACTTGTCTGTATCACAATATTCTCTAAGATGTTATCAAAAGGTTATTATCAAATCATTATCATTATCAATTAATGTCAGACTTTTGCACCAGTCATGTGTATGGAGTTCTATGGGCCTACCGGGGATCATGAGCCAGAACCTGGCCCCCTCAGAAGAGGCAAGGGAAGCAATAGCCTATTGAAACCCTTGTGTGGTTGGAAGCATTCTATGTCTGCCATCAACCGGGTTAGGCACCCAGAAAGGTAAGCGTCCCAAAACAAACCCCTATTCTGGTGAAAATTGCTTCCACAAGCCGAACAAGTGGATAGAACTCCCCCTAAAATATACGAGCAAACAATCATGACGTCACACGTCGCCGCTCCGCTGTCTGCGCAGCTCTCCCCTTCCCGAGAGGGGGAAGTGGGAGCCCCAGACCCATCGCGCCGGCTATCCACCCCCAGTTCTAAGGCTGATGCTAAAGGCTGAGGTCGTGTGCTCCGGCTCCGGTAGTTGTTTCAGCACTGTACCTAGAGTGTGGTGTCTGTCTTCTAGGTGGTGCGTGAGCTGGGAGTGTTTCTTCAGTACTCGGGCTGCATGCGCCTACGGTTTATGCCCATGCACTCAGCCCCGGGTCCAGACTCATGGAATTCAATATTTATAAAGAAATGCAAAGTGCCAGTAGCACAGGCACTCAGTATAGTGTGGAGGAAGTGCTTGGACACAGGGGAGATACCAGATGTGCTTAAAGCAGCAGACATTGCCCCTCTACACAATGGTGGTAGCATAGCATTGGCAAAGAATTATAGACCAGTTGCACTAATGTCCCACATAATAAAAGTATTTGAGAGAGTGATCAGGAGTCAGGTCACTAGATTCATGGAAACCAATGACCTCCACAATCCAGGCCAACATTGATTTAGAGCAGGAAGATCATGCCTCTCACAGCTACTTGACCACTATGACAAAATCACTGAGGCATTAGAGGAAAAACATAATGCAGATGTCGTATACACAGATTTTGCAAAGGCATTCGACAAATGTGACCATGGAGTGATTGCACACAAAATAAGGTCAATGGGTATAACTGGTAAAGTAGGACGCTGGATACTCAATTTCCTGTCGAACAGAACACAGAGTAACAGTCAATCAAGTAAAATAGTCCGAGCGCAGTTAAAAGATCTGTACCTCAAGGTACAGTCCTTGCACCACTGCTGTTCCTTATTCTCATATCAGATATAGACAAAAACACAAGTCACAGCTTTGTGTCATCCTTTGCAGATGACACAAAAATCAGCATGAAAATTACCTCTGCTGAAGACATTGATAAACAGATATTAACATAGTTTTCGATTGGGCAGCAGAAAATAACATGATGTTTAACAGTGATAAATACCAGGTACTCAGATACGGCAAAAATGAGGATCTTAAACATAATACAGGATACAAAACACAATCAAATCTGCCCATAGTAGGAAAACAGCATGTCAAGGATTTGGGAGTAATGATGTCCGATGACCTAATGTTTAGGGAGCATAACCAAGCAAGTATTGCATCAGCCAGAAAAATAATAGGATGGATTACGAGAACCTTCAAGTCCAGAGATCCCATCACAATGGGTGTACTCTTCAAATCACTTGTGTTGTCCTGTCTTGAGTACTGCTCAGTACTCACTTCCCCCTTCAGAGCAGGAGAGATTGCTGAAATAGAGGGAATACAGAGAACATATACGGCACGCATAGACTCTCGTCTATGCGTGCACCTAAAAGCACCTAAATTATTGGGGTCGTCTCAAAGCTCTCCAAATGTACTCACTAGAAAGGAGACGAGAGAGATACCAAATAATATACACATGGAAAATACTGGAGGGACAGGTCCCAAATCTGCACAGTAAAATAACAACGTACTGGAGTGAACGATATGGAAGAAAATGCAGAATAGAACCAGTGAAGAGCAGAGGTGCCATGGGCACAATCAGAGAACACTGTATGAAAATCAGAGGTCCACGGTTGTTCAACGTCCTACCAGTGAGCATCAGAAATATTACAGGAACAACCGTGGACATCTTCAAGAGGAAACTAGATTGTTTCCTTCAAGAAGTGCCGGACCAACCGAGCTGTGGTGGGTATGTGGGCCTGCGGGCCACTCCAAGCAACAGCCTGGTGGACCAAACTCTCACACGTCAAGCCTGGCCTTGGGCCGAGCTTGGGGAGTAGAACAACTCCCAGAACCCCATCAAGCAGGTATCAACCAGGTATTAAGTTATGGGACTTGTACACATGTCAGTGCAAGAAGCAAGGGAAATAGTTTGGTCTGAAGAGTAAGGGCCCACTTGTTTATACGGACTCCCTACTCAAAATAAAAGCCATTGCCCATTGTCAGGACAACTGCACTTCCAGCTGCACCCGTGGGGCAGTGTAGAGAACCATCAGCGTATATAATTTGAGAGAGAGAGAATGCTCTGTGGACAGAACATCAATATTTTTTTTTTTTTTTTAAGATATATACAAGAGTTGTTACATTCTTGTACAGCCACTAGTACGCGTAGCGTTTCGGGCAGGTCAACGGAATACGATTCCCACCGCGAAGAATCGTTTTTTCATCCAAGTACACATTTTACTGTTGCGTTAAACAGAGGCTACAGTTAAGGATTTGCGCCCAGTAAATCCTCCCCGGCCAGGATACGAACCCATGACATAGCGCTCGCGGAACGCCAGGCGAGTGTCTTGCCACTACACCATGGAGACTGTTTAAATATGACTTAAGGTGTTGAGCTTTGCCTCAAGACGAAGCTTGGGCTGATCTCTAATTTACTTTTTGGGTGGAAAGGGGTACAATCTCCCACGGTGCAGGAAAGTGCCGTTGTTGTCTCCTTTGGTACAAATGATAAATCTGGTACATTCCGAGTTCAGTTCCGGTTTATTTATCCATTTGGAAAAATGTTGACCTTCAATAAAGAAATTTTAGAGGGCTTCTGTGCAAGGGATTGGATGAGCTATCTTGAGGTTATCTTGAGATGATTTCGGGGCTTTAGTGTCCCCGCGGCCCGGTCCTCGACCCCCAGGAAGCAGCCCGTGACCGCTGACTAACTCCCAGGTACCTATTTACTGCTAGGTAACAGGGGCATTCAGGATGAAAGAAACTTTGCCCATTTGTTTCTGCCTCATGCGGGAATCAAACCCGCGCCACAGAATTACGAGTCCTGCGCGCTATCCACCAGGCTACGAGGCCCCCTAGTCTAACCCTTTTTATACCAATTTGACAGTTGATTTCAGTAACATGATCACATGATTCAAGGATTGTCTTCAAGGCTTTATTCTGCAATTTGTCAAGCCCTCCAGGCTTTCAGAAGTAACAAGTGCAGGTATTTATAGTTTGGGATACTTAAAGGAAAATATTAATTAGCTCTAGTAAAATTGCCTATTTCAATATTTTTACTTACTGTGTAGTTATCATTTGTAATTTACTTAAATAAGAGGAGGGTTTTAAGTAGTCAATATGTAGGCAAAATTCTTTCTAATTATTTGAAAGTTAAATACTGGTAATTATTTAATCATTGTTATGTAGTTATTTAGATTTTATTCATAGTAGAATAATGTATCATTTCCTAAGCATCATGTGATGTAAATCCAAGAAAATTACTGCTTTGCATTAATCATTTGCTTCCAGGGGAAAATATAGCATAAACACTGTCTAAATATACACATTTTGCTTGCAGAACAATTGCTCCATGGTGCTGGAGGCCTGTCGTGGTGACACGAAGGTGGAGCGGCTCCTTGTTGAGTTTCCCACCTCCATTTCCCATCTTCCTTTTGTTGTCCCGCCTGACCCCAGTGTGATGGTTGTCAGCACAGGAGAGGCCAGAGTGTTGTCTAGTGTGCCCTGGCTGGAGGGAAAGCCTCCACACTTCACCGTGGATCTTGCTGTGATTCCAGGCGTATCTCCTCGGACTCTTTTCATCGTCAATGAAAATCAACCCATATATGATTATATCGGTAGGCATTCGTTTTAGCTTTAAACTTTCTGTGCATGTTAGTCATTTTGGGCCTGGTAGTCCTACTATTTGTTTTTCTTTTGCATAATGTTATTGTTGTATTACTGTTTTTCTTTATGGGGTTAACCGTATAGTACACACAGAAATCACAATAGCGTGATACCCAGTATCCACTCGATTTAACGGCCTATATGGGGCTGTACCCTGGTCATTATTTCCAGAGTTCCGGTATTTCTAAAGTTAAGTGTCGGTAATTTTTCAAGTAACATTCAGGTAAGATATATTTTATACAGACAGTCACTCGGTCCACCTTCTACCCTGTGACGTCACAGATTCACGGCACATCATTGTTTTGATTTGTCATGAGGCTGGAGTATTCATTCCGTGACTTTGTTGGACATATCTACACAATCGAGGAACATCCGTGCACCATGTTGGCTCCAAATGCACTCATTGTGTCAGTGATGGCTGACTGGTGGGTGGATGGGCAGCCAGGCAGGGATGGAGAGGCTGAAATGTAGGCAGGCAGGGAGAGGCTGGGTGGTAGGCAGGCAGAGGCTGGGTGGTAGGCAGGGAGGGAGGCAGGCAGAGCTTGGGAGGAAGGCAGGCAGGGAGCTCCGGAGGCAGGCAGAGCTTGGGAGGAAGGCAGGCAGAGGCTGGGTGGTAGGCAGGGAGCTCCGGAGGCAGGCAGAGCTTGGGAGGAAGGCAGGCATAGGCTGGGTGGTAGGCAGGGAGGGAGGCAAGCAGGCAGGCAGGCAGGCAGAGGCTGGGTGGTAGGCAGGGAGGGAGAGGATGGAGATAAATGGTAGGGTGGAGATGGATGGAGGGAGGGAGAGAGGGATGGAGCGATGGATGTTGAGGTGAAGCAGACAGCGTGTGTATGGGAAGTATGGTGGGGGGCAGGTGGGGGTACGTGTGTGTGTGTGTCGGTGGTGGGGAAGGGACTGGCTCACCGATAAGCCTAATTCATTTGACCCAGTTAACCAGATATTTCTTAATTAAATTCTGGATGTACATCATATGTATTTTTGCTTACAGATTTTGTTAAGTAATATTATTATGATAATGAAAAGTTATAAAATACTTGTTTCATGAATGTTTTATTGTACTAGATGGAGATTCTCCAGGCTGTCTCTTGCTGGCTGGCAGTCTACTGAGCCATTTCCCAGACTGGCCTTGGGGGGAGGCGGGAAGTAAGGGTGTGGGGGGGGGGGGAGAGCAGGAGTGAGGGTGTGGGGGAGAAGTGTTGTGAGGGTGAGAGAGGAGATGAAAGAGGTAGGTAGAATGCTTGCCATGTGAGGAACCCCTGATGCCAAAACAAACCTAATACCGACCTTCGGTAATAGCGACCGCCAGACTGTTATGAGGCTCTAAATACCGGTCTCCCAAACTGGTCGTTATTATCGGCAGATCAGTATAAAAGAGGCCATTAAATTCAGTGGACACTGTATATCAAATGAATAAATCCCCATGGGCCGTGATGAGGGTTCGAACTTGCGGCCAGGATGATCTCAGATGAGCCTTAATCGACTGAGCCACGACATGGTCAAAAGAATTGCAACCGGGTTTGCTACTGCTCTCACACGGATCCCGCAGTCTCTCCGAGACACAAACCGGGGTTTTACACAATTTCCCCCATGCACTCGGGGTCTGTCGACAAGCCATTCTACATCTTCGCCCTTACATCAATACACACGGTCCAAGCTGTCCACTTGGACAACACAACACCTGGACAAGTGTTAAGTTAGTAGCATCACTATGTATGCTAATTCTGTGGGCTGTGTGAAGCCAGTGGCCAGCTGGAATTGTTTTGGCCCATTCATGTTTGCTGCATATATAAACTTTCTTGCATATGCAGCTTTGTCAGTGAGTGCTTAGTGTGTTTCAAAGAGGAAAGTTATCTTGAATGTGGGAAGTGTAAAACATTGGGGGGAAAACAAAAATAAACCTCTGGAACAGGTCACCTCTGTCTAATGACTGAAGATTAAAGAGACGCCACACTCCCCATCTCCATACGTGAATCTTGGATGTCTTGCCAGCAAACATAAATGGAATATACAGTATATAATAATAATTTCACATATACCCACTAGTAAAATACATATTTATATAAACTTGAAAAGGGACCTGTGGACATGAAACATGAATGAATGTGTTAAGAGTATGCAGATCTCGTGTAGTTGTGTTGAGATAATTTCGGGGCTTAGCGTCCCCCCGGTGCGGTCCTCGACCAGGCCTCCTTTTTGTTACACACCCCCAGAAAGCAGCCCGAAGCAGCTGTCTAACTCCCAAGTACCTGTTTACTGCTAGGTGTACAGGAGCATCAGGGTGAGAGAAACTGCCAATTTTGTTTCCGCCTACACCGGGAATCGAACCCGGAACTCGGGACCATGAATCCGAAGCACTGTCCACTCGGCTGTCAGGTCTCCAGACCCATCCATCCAACTGTCAGGTCAGGTGTGCTCTCTGGAAATGCGGGCCCATGCAGCCAATCTAATACTTATATGTGGTATATTATGCCCTTTTTCTATTTCATAAAAGCATATTATCTGTGGAGAGCCCCTTCGGCTCCCCTGAGCTATACCGGGCTGATGTGTATATATTAGACCGTGGCAACAGTCAATTGAAGGAGTTCTAGGCCTACCGGGGATCAGAGCCAGAACCTGGTCCACTCAAGAGAGGCACGAGGAGCAATGGCCTAAAGACACCCCATATAATTGGAAGCAGTCTTTGTCTGCCATCTACCAGGTCAGGCACCCAGAAAGGTGGGAATTCCAAAACAAACTGCTGCTGGTCAAAATTTGCAAACCAAAAGTTGAACTAGCAACAGAACTCCCCAATCAATACCTAGGAAACAAGTATGACGTCACAACAAACACAGCGCATTCGTCTGCACAACTTTCCTCCCCCCCTCTACGCCGGCAACTCTACTCAGTTCAGAAGGTTGTGAGGTAGACAGTCGATCGACTCTGACTCCATCCTTTGAGCAGTGCTGCAAAGTGGTGGTGGTGTTCAGAATTGGTATTGTGCGAGCCAGAAGTAACACAAAAGTACTGGGGCTGCATGCACCTAGGGCCACCTCCCTAGGTGCCCTGTAAGTACTGCCCTGTGGCCTCAGGTCTCTTCCCTGAGCCGTTCGGGAACTACCTTCGCGTGGTTCTGTTGCTGCTTGGTGTTTGCCCGCCCTTGGGGTTCAGCTGGGGTGGTTCTTACTCCTGTTTACTCATGGGTAGGAGGTAGTTTCATCGCTGGCTGGGACATGAGGTACTGTGTTGCTGTCTGATATACGCATAGTGAATGGTTCTGTTCACCTGGAGACGTGCTTTTGCAGGGTTTTTCTTTTTTTTTTTTTGTTTTGCCTGGTGGAGGTCTGTCTGGTGTGGCTGACCACTTGAATGATTTTGGTGGCCCTCCACTAGGTCCCCTGTGCTTGCACACGTCGCAGGGGTTCAGCTTTTAGTTTGTTTGCTTGATAGCTCTGGGATAACCGGTTAGCAGTACCTCGCCTGGGCTTCCCTTAGCAGTCAGCCTAAGGGCCCTGGAAACCCCCATTGGGGCTCAGTGGTCCGATGAAAGAGACCTCAGAGTCCCACCACTCCAGTTCACCCAGTCCAATGAGATGGATATTTGGGTGCAAGCAGCTTCGGCACTGCATGCACGGTTTAGGTTGCTGCAACACGCAAGGTTGGTTGCCTTTCCAGATGCCCCGCAGCCGCTCTTGCTTTGGTTATAGGGACCCAGACTTGGGGGGTGTTAGTTGCCTTGACTTTGATTTCATCTGCACCCCCCTAGTCCTTGCCTTGCTGTGTTTCATCCTGCTACCCTGTTCCAACCCCCCCCCCCCCCTGCTCCCGGCTCCCAAACGTCTGAGGGTTTCGGAGTCGGGAAGGGTTTGCCTCATGGCGAGTCTCGAGCGGCTTCGGGGATTGCCCTTTCCAGATCGGCAGCGGAGGCATTCGAGCCTGTTCCTCCTCCTGGAGCCTTTGGGCCGCCCCTTCATCCCGGCTTTTCCGGCGGACTCTGCTTTTTCTCCAGAAGCAGAGGGTTTGGAGGACTGCTCAGCCCCGGGTCCTGACGTGGAGGTTCCCGGGGCTGGGGAGTTGACTTGGGGGGCTTGGGCCTTGTTTGACCCTGCTTGGGTGTTGGTACCCTCGGTGTGAGGCTTGTTGTTAAAGGGGTAGGGGTTTTCCTATTCCCCTTCCCTGTACAAGTTTGATGTGTGTGCGACTCCTTCCCCGGGTTCGGTTCCGGGTTCCCCGTGGGTTCTTCGGTTCCCTCCTTCCAAAGGTGGTGCGGGAAGCCATTGCGGCTTACCTCTTGCGAGACCCAGATTACGCCTCGGTAATGGATACGACTTTTGAGTTTGGCTCCTCGTTTTCTTTCTGGGTGCGTTACGAGGTGCCGGAGTCTTCCTGGTTGATGGACTGCCCTTTCTTTTCATTCAGGGTGTGGCATTTGTTCTATCGGACTCGCGGGCTTGAATGGCGGGAGTTGACTACGGTTGTTCAGGATTACCCAGGGGCGAATTTGAGCACCTTAATGAGTGCTTGTTCGCACCCGTACTTCCTCGTGATGTCGGTCAGGTGCAGCTGCTAGGTGCTCGTCCACTCTTTGGAATCGGCTTAGGTCTTAGATTTTTGTCCGTTGCTGTTTGCAGAGTCTGCGGTAGTGCATTTTCTGCAAGTGGCTTCATCTAGTTGCTGTCCTATGTCAGACTTGTTAGTTCCGGAGTGGGGTGTGGGGGGAGGCGTGGTGGCATGCCCAGATGGGTCGTGCCAGGTCTCGGGATTCCTTCGGTCGTCATAAGTCAGTAGTGCCAGATTCGGGACCTGCACCTTCTTTGGAGCCGCCAGCATCTGGTAGGCGCAATGATCGCTCTGAGCATCGGTCGGGCTCTCGTAGGGGTCATTGGCTCTTTTGCGGGTTGCCCCTTTGACGGTGCGATACGGGATAGGCTTGTGCTGTTTGCTCTCGCCTGGTCCCACAATTTGTGGGCATTTCGGGTCGTTTCCTCCAGCCTGCAATGGTGTTGGGTCGCTCTTCCTCCTTTGGGGGGATCGCGGCTGGCAGGGGCAGACCTCTTCTCGTGTGCTGTCAGGTCATCCGGGAGTGGGTCCACTTGACCCGGGAAACTCAGGTGGGTTTCCCACCTGTTTTCAGCTCCGAAACGGGACTGTACGGATCTGCGATTCATACTGGACTTGTCTCGTCTGAATCCCTGGGTCTTTTGCCCCCTCCTTTCGGAAGACCACTCTGTCTCAGGTCCAGCTGCTTTTGGCGCCGGGTGCCTGGATAGTGTGTGTGGACCTCTGGGACACGTATTGGCATGTCCCAGTTCATCTGGGGTTTAGGGATTGGCTTGGTTTTGTCGTGGGGCGACAGACTTACCGCTTTTGTTGCCTTCCATTCGGTTTGAATCTGGCACCTCGTGTGTTCACACGCCTTACCCAGGACGTGGTGACCTGTTTGCATCTGTTAGGGGTTTGGGTTCTGGCTTACCTCGACGACTGGCTAGTGTGGGCTCCCAGCCAGTCTGCGTGTCTGCTCGCCAAGGATTTTGCTCTTTCCCAGCTCTCCAGATTCGGGTTCTTTATAAACTGGAGGAAGTCCCATATGGTTCCCTCTCAGGTTCGGACTTGGCTGGGTCTTGTATGGGACTCTCGGACCGCTTCCTTGTCTCTTCCTCCTTTGACGCTGTTGCAGCTGTGGTCCCGCCTATGACTATTTTTGGAGGGCACCCGGGTCACACTGTGGTTGTTCGAGTGGCTGTGCGGGAGCCTGAACTTTACCTGCTGGGCTACCCGTCGGGACAGATCTGGCTTCGGCGGCTGTTCTTGTTTCTTTGGGGGTGTCCCTTCCGCCACTCTCGCAATCACTGGATTTGGATCCTGGGAGCCTTGTCTCGGCTGCTGCGTCGCCGGCTTCCTCTGCGGGTTTTTTTGAGTTCTGTGCTGTGGTGCCTCCTCGAGCCCTCGCTCGATATGTTCATAGATGCCTCGTCTCTCGGCTGGGGTTTTGCGACAAGTGCTCACCAGGCAGGCCAGGGTTGGTGGGGTCCGTCCTTCCGTCGAACTCACAGCACGGCGCAGGAGTTTGCGGCGGTGTGGCATTCGCTTCAGAGGATTCGTGTCGCTCGCGGAGCAATGATCTGGCTCCATTTGGACTGTTACCCGGTGGTTCATTGCCTGAACCGCGGGGGTTCGATGCAGTTCTTAGCTCTTAGGGGCTGGTTGCTTCGGCTGATTCGTCTGCTGAGTTCTCGGGGTTTGGCTCTCCTGACGGTTCATATTCAGGGGATGTCAAACATCCCGGCGGATGGCCTGTCTCGGATCATTCCCTTATCCATGGACTGGACTGTTGACGCTGATTCGTTCAGTTGGCTATGCCGGACGTACAGGCGCCCAGAGGTGGACCTCTTTGCATCGGCATGGTTGAAGTGTCTTCCAGTGTATGTGGCGCCCTTCCCAGACTTCGAGGCCGTCGGGGTCAAAGCCTTTCAGCTGGACTGGTCGAGGTGGAGTTACCTGTACCTCTTCCCACCGGTCTGGTTGTTGCTCTGGATCCTGGCTCGGTTGGAAACTTACCAGGGAAGAGTAGTCCTGTTGGTTCTTAGGTGGTGGCCCAGCCCCTTGTTTCAGGCGCTTCTTGCTCGATGTCCGAACCAAAGGGTCTTCCCGCAGCTCCGCCTCTTTCAGCAGATTGATTCAGTCCGGTATGTGGGTAGTTCGATCTTCTCTTCCACTCTTAGCATCTGGTCTTGTTGATGCGGGTTTGACACCATTGTATGGTGATCAGGTGGTTTCGTTGATGGTGTCCCACCTACGAGTTTCATCTCGACCGCAGTATGAAATTTCCTGGCGGTCCTTACGTCATTTTTTGTCTTATCGTAGGTTGTCTTCGATTTCTGGTCAGGTGGTTTTGTCCTTTTTCTCTTGGTTGTTTCAGGACCATCATCTTATGCCAAATACTGTCGCCTCGTATTGTGCGGTGCTGGTGGAGCCGCTGCAGCTTGCGTTTGGGATGGATGTCACTTCTGCTCTGTTCCACAAGCTTTCTTGGGTATTGTTTCACATTCGGCCTGCTCATGCGCCGCCTAAGCCGTCCTGGTCGTTGGCCCCGGGTGCTCTCTTTTTCCCTTCTCTGTTTGTGGTGGCCCCCTCGGTTCAGGACTGTTTTTCTAAGTTTTTTTTTTTTCATTGGCCTTGCTCTCTTATCTGCGCCATTATTTGCGTGCCACGACCTGTGTGGCAGGGGACGCGCTTTGGGTGGACTCGGTTTCCCTTCTTCCCTGTTCCAGGGGCGCGGCTGTCCTAGGTTGTCCGCAGGGTTATTCAGTCCAGCCAGCCTGTGGTCTATCCCCATGCCCACGACGTTCGTAAGTTCGCGGCTATGGGTGCTGTTTTGGGGAATATGTTCTGGGCTGACATTCGGGCATGGGGCTTTTGGAGGTCAAACAGGATCCTGGCCACACGGTATCTCATTAATGTTCCTGAACATTCTCAGGCGTATGTAGCCTTGGGTCGCAGGTTGCAGCCAGTTGTCTCAACTTCGAGTTGAGGAGCGAGTGACGACTGACTCCCAGGTAAGTCCCTCTTCTTCTTTATCTTTGGTTAGGTAGCTCCGGGGAGCCGAAGGGGCTCTCCACAGAAAATCAGCATTGAATGTAATGAAATACCATTTTCTGGATGAGACCTGTTGGCTCCCTGGCATCCCTACCTCCTTCCGGTTGGCGATTTTTTGCGTTTTTGATACACAGCCTTTCCAACACATGGAAAATACTGGAGGGCCAGGTCCCAAATCTACACAGTAAAATAACAACTTACTGGAGTGAATGATATGGAAGAAAATGGAGAATAGAACCAGTGAAGAGCAGAGGTGCCATAGGCATGATCAGAGAACACTGTATGAACATCAGAGGTCCACGGTTGTTCAACACCCTCCCAGCGAGCATAAGAAATATTGCCAGAACAGTGGACATCTTCTAGAGGAACCTAGATTATTTGCTCCAAGGAGTGCCGAACCAACCGAGCTGTGGTGGGTTTGTGGGCCTGCGGGCCGCTCCAAGCAACAGCCTAGTGGACCAAGCTCTCACTAGTCAAGCCTGGTCTTGGGCCGAGCTTGGGGAGTAGAACTCCCAGAACTGCTGGCGTGGAGGTCTGGGATCCCCCCTGTCCCTCTCCCGAGGAGTGGGGGTTGCGCAGACGGATGCGCAGCATTTATGGTGACTTCATACGTATTTCCTTGGTTTTGACTGCGGAGTTCTGTTGCTAGTTTGCCTTTTGGTTTGCAAATTTTGACCAGCAGCAGTAGTAGTTTGTTTTGGAATTCCTACCTTTCTGGGTGCCTGACCTGGTAGATGGCAGGCAAAGACTGCTTCCTATTACACGGGAGTGTCTTTAGGCCATTGCTCCTCGTGCCTCTCTTGAGGGGGCCAGGTTTTTCTGGTCCCCAGTAGGCCTAAAACTCGTTCAATAGACTGTTGCCACAGTCTAATATATACACATCAGGCCGGTATAACTCAGGGGAGTCTCTGGGTCTTACTCAGAAAATGGCGTTTGATTACATTCAACACTGGTTTTTTGGCACCAAAGTATTACCATACATTTTGGAATATATTTAGGCATTTTTTTTATTATATCTGGAGCTTTTAAATATTTTTTGGATATCAGTGATTTGGGCCCCATTAACTCGTGTTCTGTTTGTTCTAAACTAGAATAAAATTCCTAATGTATGTTTGGTGTAATATAGTTCGACAACTAGATGGTTTACCTGGAGGATCTACTACCGTCTCTAGTACTCAAGCCTCTGTTACTAGTAGCAAGACCAATTGTAAGACTTCCACCATGGCCCCTGACCTTACTCCTGCCATTGGGAACAAGACTTCCACCATGGCCCCTGACCTTACTCCTGCCACTGGGGACAAGGCTTCCACCAGTGAGGCTCAAACTGTGAGTTAAATATTTTCTTCCTGTTTATATTTTCAAGAATTACTCTTATATATTTTAGAGCATGTTAATTTTACACATACTTATGGCAGCGTTATAATGCCTGGCAAAAACGTCATCTGTCAGTAATGCAACCAACAGTGATTATGTTCTATTAACCCCAACCTCTCCAACCTCGCCTCCACCTGCCAACCAGGAAGAGGCTAGCACAAAGTTGTGACCATGTGATTATCTAGATCAGTGTGTAGACAACCTTGTTAGGAAGGTGGAGCAACCTCACCTAAACCATGAAGAGCAGATCCTTCAGAAGTGGTAAATTCTAGAAGAGTTACAAAGGGTGTAGAAGGAATTGCAAGGAAAGTAATCCCTTACAGTGGCAACTATGCTATCCCAAGAACCATGAATAACGGGAACTTTACAGCCGTGGCATTACCACAAGCAGTAATAGTTCAGTTGTTGGTTTAATGTGAAGTAATAATGAGTCTTCCATTACAACATTGACCAGTACCAGAACCAACAGCAACACCAGTAGTGGCATCAATGTAGGATGCATATCTTTGGCAGCTCCTCTTGTTTATCCTCCTGCTTCTCTGCATACCCACGTACCCATTGCTATGCATTCTGTGGAAACTCAGACAGGCTTCCTTTCTGGCAATGGATGGGCAAGCTTTACCCCCAGTGGTGTCCTTATCTGGTGGAATGGCTTCTGCAGCTCAGTTGTCAATTTCACTTCCAGCTGAGGGAGTCCAAGTACCTTCATCAATGTTTTCTGGGGGGACATGTCCTCAGGAAACTGCTGGTTACTCAGCATTGTCTGTGCATCACACTCCAGTCTCACTGCCTTCTCTTCCAACTCGTAATATTTCCTCGTCTGGACCAGCAACACGAAACATTCCGGTCTCGGAAAGACCATAAATGATACCCACAAAGAAAACAGATAAAAAGTAGCTTGAACTTGAGAAGCAGAAGCATCAACCTGTATCTCAGCAGCAACATTTACCTGAGGGCCACTAACCCTTGTGGTCTCGACGAGGACAGGAAGCCAGTGGTTTGTCGAAGGTCCCCCCATTTGCCCTGATTCTCATATATATTCAGCTCGACTAGGAGATGGAGGTCTATCAGGAGGATCTACTACTGTCTCTAGTACTCAAACCTTAGTTACTAAGGTAAACTGTAGCAAGACCATTAACATGATACTTAATAATATATGATGGTGTAGCGTAGCAAAGCTGTTCAGCAGTTACCTGTTGATACCTGCTTGATGGGGTTCTGGGAGTTCTTTTACTCACCAAGCCTGGTCCGAGGCCAGGCTTTATTTGTGAGAGTTTGGTTTACCAGGCTGTTGCTTGGAGCGGTCCACAGGCCCACATGCCCATCACAGCCCACTTGGTCCGGCACTCCTTGAAGAAAACAATCTAATTTTCTCTTGAAGATGTCCACGGTTCTTCCGGCAATATTTCTGATGCTCGCTGGTTGGACGTTGAACAACCGCGGACCTCTGATGTTTATATAGTGTTCTCTGATTGTGCCTATGGCACCTATGGCACCTCAAGTTTCAGCGTCAACTAGTACAGCTGAGCCATGGGGTTAATGGTTCATATAGTTGTCCATCTAGTGGCTTAGGTACTTAATCATTACTCCTGCCAGGTGGTAATGTTACTTCCTTACCTCCACCTGGTGGGCTGCATCATTCAATTGGAGCAACCCAATGCCTTCCACCACCTCCACCACCACATTCTCCTCCCCTTCTTGTTGATGCTACTCATGATCAGAGCTGCTAGAATAAGAAGTTTTAAACCAGTGTAATGAGTAAAAATGGATAAAAAATGTAGTGTTCCCTTGGAATGTGATTATCCAGGGCTTTTACCAAATGAAGTAGCAAGTAGTGGGGCTGGTTCAAGCAAGTTAGAGAATGATAGTGTGAGCTATGATGCTGATTGTGGAGCAGAGGTTGTTCCTTTTAACATCATCAGGTGTTCCATTGCCACTGTCAATGAGGTTGGGGTTCAGCCACAGGTACAGGTATGCAGTTTGTTCCCACTACTCTTTGTGTCCTCTCCTCACCTGCAATTTGCACCCTTCCAAGTTGGCACAGAATCTCTGCCTTTGCAATATGGTCACTTGACTTCCTTGGGGATGGGGCAGACAGTGTTCAACCAGCCAGTCACCAGTCAAACAGGTCGCAGTGGTAACAATAACATTACCAAGGCAAACGGTCCTGACAGGAGTTCCTCATTCTAGCAAGTCTCGAGTAAAGAAGTTTTCTGGGGGGAGCCCTGTCGGCTCCCCGGAGCTTTACCGGCTGATATGCTAATGTCAGACTTTGGCATCAGTCATGTGTATGGAGTTCTAGGGCCTACCGGGGACCACGAGCCAGAACCTGGCCCCCTCAGAGAGGCAAGGGGAGCAATGGCCTATAGAAACCCCCGTGTGGTTGGAAGCATTCTATGTCTGCCATCGACCGGGTCAAGCATCCAGAAAGGTAAGCATTCCAAAACAAACTCCTATTCTGGTGAAAATTGCTACCTAAAGCCGAACTAGTGGATAGAACTCGACAGAAAACAAGGAAACTAGTATGACGTCATACGTCACCGCGCCGCTGTCTGCGCAGCTCCCCCCTCCCCGGGAGGGGGAAGGGGGAGCCCCAGACCTCCCACGCCGGCTATCCACCCACCAGTTCTTCGGCTGATGCTATGGGCAACGGTTATGTGCTCCGGCTCCAGTGGTTGTGAACTAGTGGATAGAACTCTTCAACAGAAAACAAGGAAACTAGTATGACGTCATACGTCACCGCGCCGCTGTCTGCGCAGCTCCCCCCTCCCCGGGAGGGGGAAGGGGGAGCCCCAGACCTCCCACGCCGGCTATCCACCCACCAGTTCTTCGGCTGATGCTATGGGCAACGGTTATGTGCTCCGGCTCCAGTGGTTGTGAACTAGTGGATAGAACTCTTCAACAGAAAACAAGGAAACTAGTATGACGTCATACGTCACCGCGCCGCTGTCTGCGCAGCTCCCCCATCCCCGGGAGGGGGAAGGGGGAGCCCCAGACCTCCCACGCCGGCTATCCACCCACCAGTTCTTCGGCTGATGCTATGGGCAACGGTTATGTGCTCCGGCTCCAGTGGTTGTTTCAGCACTGTACCTAGAGTGTGGTGTCTGTTTTCTAGGTGGTGCGTGAGCCGGGAGTGATTCTTCAGTACTCGGTCTGCATGCGCCTAGGGTTCCCTTCCCTAGGTGCCCTGTAAGTACTGCCCTTGGGGCTTGGGGCCACCTTCCACAAGTTCCTTGGGTCCTGCCCCTGCATGGCCGTTTACTGCTTGGTTTTCAGCCGCTCTTTGTGTGCTCGGGTGTTCTGTCTTCCTTGTTCGCCTTAGAGTAAGGGGCAGTTTTTGCACTGGTGGGGCGCAGGGTACTGTGCAGCTTGTCTTTACCAATCATAGCGGCCGGCTCTGTTCCGCTTGGGTACGCTGTCCTCTTGCGGGGTTTTCTTTTTCTTTTTGTTTATCTACCTGGTGGGGGGTCTGCCTTCGTTCTTGCCCCTTGTGTCCCTTGTGTTCTGAGTATTTTCTGGTGGTACCCCTGCTAGGTCCCCGTGAGTGTACACGTCCCGGGGGTTCAGCTCTTAGAAAGTTGTTTCGTAGCTTTGGGTGCCGGTTAGCAGTACCCTGCCTGGGATTAACTGAGCGCGAGTCCTCTTATAGTAAACGCTCGGGACCCTGGGAAACCCCTGGGGGCGCGGGTCCGATGGATGTGACCCCAGGGTCCCCCCCTCACTCCTAGCGAATTTAAGGGTTGCTCTCACCCTTTGTCTCTGGGTGGCTCTCTGTTTTGCCTCCGTCTGCTGCCTGTGGGATCGGTGACACCTTCGACCCGGAGTCCTGCGAGTTTGGTTGCTCATTGTGGCTCGGTTACCCAGTTGTGCTAACAAAGCGGGTGCGGGCAGCAGGGGCGTTGCACTTGAGCCTTGGTGGTGGCAACGTTCTCGTGGTTTCCTCCCCGGGAGCCCCGGGGCTGCCCCGTTGTAGTTCGTTTTGGGACTTGGGGGTGTTGGTTGCTTCGGTTCCATCCACGCCCCTTGTCTTTCCCCTGGATCACCCTTCCTGCCTGCATCCGGTTCCTTACCGTCTGTAGGTTCGGGGCGGGGTTTTTGATGGTGTTAAGACTCGGGCAGTCTCGGGAAATTCCCCTTCCGGGGTAGTGACGGGGGCATTTGAGCCTGTTCCTCCAGACGTGTTGTAAGAGTCTGCCAGTGGGCCCCCTTCATTAGTGTTTTCACGGCTGCCCCGGTTTTCTGGTACGGCCGGGGCTTTGGGGGAACGGCTCGGCCCCGGGGCCTGTCGTGTAGGTTCCCAGGGCTGGGAAGGGGCTGACTTGGGGGGCCTTGGCCCCGTTGGACCCCGTGGGGGTTTTTATCCCCCTCTAGGCGGGGCTTGTGGTTACGCGGAGTGGGGTTTTTCCTCCCCACTCGCCATACGTGCTGTTGGGCGTCGGCCTCTCCCCGGGCTCGGTTCCTTGGCCTTTGAGTCGGTTGGTTCTGTCCTGTGGGTGGATGTTTCCTCCCACCCCTTATTGGGCCAGTGTTTTCATCATGTTTCCCCGTTCAATGGGGTTCTGCGTGACTTCTGATCTCGGGTGCGCCTGCGCCTTCGTGTGCCTTCGGGACTAGCGTTGGCTTCTGTGTTCTCAAGGGTACGGGAAGGTTTTTCGCTACTTCCCGCATTATTGGAACGTCTGTCGGCTCCTCGTCCTTGTCGCCCTGTTGGGCTGCTTGTCGCCCTGTTGGGCTGCTTGTCGCCCTGTTGGGCTGCTTGTCGCCCTGTTGGGCTGCTTGTCGCCCTGTTGGGCTGCTTGTCGCCCTGTTGGGCTGCTTGTCGCCCGGTTGGGCTGCTTGTCGCCCGGTTGGGCTGCTTGTCGCCCGGTTGGGCTGCTTGTCGCCCGGTTGGGCTACTTGTCGCCCGGTTGGGTTCCTTTTTGGGCTCTTTGCTTCTTTGGCCGGTTTTATTG